AAATAAAGAGATGGCAGGTTATATATGAATTGGCAACGAACTACACGGTGAAAGAATTAGGCGGAGTTCAGAAATACGCAGTCTGTGTGTAGGTTATTATTCGGGGTGTTTCACTCCTGCTGTGAAACTGTGTTTCGCAGTTGTGTTTCGCAGGAGTGATTCTTTCTGAACCCAAGCCTAATATGGTAAAAAAAAAAACTTATTATATCCTGAATGATTTAAAACTATGAGTTGCAATAATGTGCTGCAGCATTTTGTAGCATACACACGTGAGAGATATACACTATTCATGAATTCTGGTGCACGTAAAGCCAAGTAACCTGGTTGTGATGTACCATAGTTATGAACGGCGCGAAAATCCTGGAACACAAAATAAAGCAAAACATAGAGGACGGGTGCCAGACTCGCAACTAATTTTTATTCACGTCGGCTCGCTCCTTCTGTATTATTCACATTTTTATTGCATTGTATTGTATTGCTGTATTGAATAAATCTACATCTTTTTATATAGAAGAACGTGATCCCTCCCCCTCCCCCCCCCAAAAAAAAAACAGGTGATACAACACGCAAGGTTTTTAATGAATTCTTAATCAAAGAAGATGTTTCCCTTTGTTGCAAATCGGTATTTGAAACACTAGATACATTATTACAGGTTGTTTCATAGTTTGGGAAAATCTCGGAGCGCCTCCATGGCATCGCGATGCGACTAGCGCTGCGATTTGCGCGCCGGCAGCAGCTCACGCGTGCGCAGACGTTTCCATGGTGTACAGTTGAACCACGTCGTCTGCTACCGGAAAGGCGTGTGCAGCATTGTCGGCCAGCGCACAGATATCACTTGTTAGTGTGAGAACTAAGCCCGAATACTCTGCACTAATCATTTTGGGTAAAAACTGCGCGATGAGATGCGAAGAACAAGGAACGACAAACGCTTGCGTGCTTTCATTCGTCGTATCCCGTCTTGCTGCGCTGTTTCTTCAGATGCTCCCGTACCCACTTTCAACGCTTGTCTGCACGAAACGTTGTGCAACGGCCACCTCTCGGCCTTTATTCGTGATAATGGAGAGCATTTCACAGTCTGCATCGTTTGCTCTATCGAAGCACTGTGACACTGTGTGCGCTCACGAAAGTTCCGTCATTTTGCGCACGCCGCAGTGAGTTTGGATTAGGCAGACATGATGATGAGCATGCATTGTTCGGGGTGTCTATTTGAGTTTAAACTAAACAAAGTACTCAGTGGTGACTGGTGAGCAGCTGAACGGGTTTAACAGAACAAAACACATGGGAATAAATTCAAGAATGATTTAGAATGGAATACCACCTGAACCAAAATTTGTTCTCGACCAAAATGCACTCGTGACGCATCCAAGTTGATGTCTCCAGCGATAGCGATGATGTCGCTCAATCTAGACGGCAATGAATGTATGATGTCAGTGGTGTGTTCCGCCACAGCATGCCCAATTCGTTGACGATGCATAGGAGCATGGCATCACAAGATACAGATTGAGTTGAATAAAAGAAAGGGTCGTCTGCCGTACGTTTCCCCCCCCCCACTTCTTTCTTGGCTGACAAGAGCAGTATTTCATTTTTTGCCTGGTTTACTATGTCCCATGTACGAGAAAAAAAGCGACTTAAGATTACTAAACTCTGTCGTAAAAACTATACTATACATTTCGGAGCCAGCTAGCGAGCCTTAGGGGGAATAAAATGTCGTCGTTAAGAGACACGTTCAGGCTCTGTCTTCACCAAAAACATTCCGGAATTAGTTTCCATTTGTTTTATAGTGTTAAGTCAGCTCAGAAGTGCAATTCCTACCGTTGAGTGCGTTTTGTTAATTCAAGGTCAAATCAAGACGACACACATTGCGTGCTAATTATCGTGTCTCTCTCTTCCCAGCGTACTGTGGTGCACGTAGAGTGAAGAAATATTCACAAACGCACGCATCACCATGGCGTTTAGAGAGAGCAATCAAGGTATGCTGTGAAATTCTGCTTGTAGCAAACTAGTACCACAAGTAAAGGCTGAGAGGTTGGCGTCACGCAACATTTAGTGCAGATTATCAGACCAGTTTCTGCCCTAAAAATGGACAGCAATATGGCAAGCAAGAGCAGCGGTGTAGCAGACGACGCGGTTAAAAACTGCCCTTCTGAATCATCTGAGCACGCGCGAGCGGCGGATGGCTCGTGGTTGCGGCGCTGGCCGCATCACGATGCCAGGCGCTTTGAGTTTTCCTCTAACTGTGAAACAGCTTGCACATACCCTTTAACATCCGGTCCGCATTGCAGGGACTGTGGGCGCGTCCCTCTCATTTTGAAAAATAACCAGCATCATCGCCAGGAGTAATGATCACTCAGTTTGGTAGATGATGTATCAGCGTGTGCAGCCACCACATAATCTCGTTTTCTTCGAGGTCTGGTGATTTTGGAACGTTAAACCTCACATATCAATCAATTCTTGGAGGCTTCATGAGAACGTAATGTGGTAAGTGGTGCGTTTTGTACGCATAGTCTTGTCACGGGCGTACGCGTACATCTCTAGAATCGATACGCTACGTCCTTCACATGCGCAGTTCTCTCCCAGGGCAGTGTTGCGTTCGTAGCCTCGTTACGTACGCTTAACTAAAAGTGTCTATTAGTTGCCCACGTGCGAAAGCGGGGGTCCAGTTCCCTTCATAACACGTGCGTGCTTCCTTTGTGTGAGGCACAATATCAATGAGAATACTTGCTAATATAGGGCAAGTTTGAAAGTCACCGCGCAGCCTTCGAGACTGGCAACGGCTGCCTCTTGTTTTCTCCGCGCGATGCTGGTAGGTTCACGGTATACTCGACGCAGGAAACGCGAGGGGGTGAGTAGCCACTACGACGCGACGCTTCGAACTTGGGAACTCGCGCGGCAATGCTCGAGTTCATGTATACAAGCTTGCGAAGGTGGACAGCACATGGCAGGTTTTGAAAAGGCCGTTTTGTTTCGACGACAAAGTAAATCCTTTTCCGATACGTTCACTGGAGCGGCCACAGATCTTGCGGGCTAGGTTTCTCAAGAGCCATGAATCTAAATTTTCAGCGGACTAGTCTAGACTACACGCTCGCGAAACCATCTATCCTAATGAAATCTTATAGTTTTTCTCACTTTGTCGTATGAGAAATATAAGATCAAATGAAATGAGCGTGTCGTACGAACTTGAGAAATTGTGGGTACTCACGCAGCAGGATGCCGTAGATTGAGGCGACAAAGACCTCTGTGACTGCACTTGTGATTCTAGATAACGTACCAGAGGAAAACAAGAATGACTTTGTGTCTTTGTGATAGCAGAGGCCTACAATGACCCAGCTGATACGAAAGCTGTTTATCTAAAAAAAAGCGCGGGGGGTGGCTCGTTACTCTCTTTGAACGAGGGGCGGGAGGCGAACGAGGGTCGGCAAGCGCTATGTACCACTATAGCGGGGCGTAGCCAGAAATTTTTTCAGTGGAAGGAGGACACACACACACTCTTGAATTGGCCATTTTTTGCTCTCTATGCCATGCCGAAAAAAATTTCAGGGGGAGGGGCACATGTCCGGTGTGCTACATTCTGGCTACACCCCTGCAGTGCAGAACATGCGCCTTGAGGTACTGTATTCATGTTTCACAATACCACCAAACAAGGAGCTCTGCTTTCAAAGTCAACGCTTACCTCACTCGATGTACAGATGCCCCAGAAAGTGAAAACCGAGCACGCGAGCTATGGTCGATCATACTGGGCTAGCAGTAGAAACTGCCTACAGCACCTCATGGGATTTTTGTGTCGGAGGGGTGGCCAGTAGGCTTTTCTGTTGCACCCGTCCTCTGTTAACGCTCATAGAAAGGGTACCTTTTCAGCGGGTACCTTTTCAGCGTTTATTTATCTTTCAATGGAATGGAATAAAATAACTTTACTTCAGTCCTGCAGGACGCACTTAGCGCGTCGCGGGCGTCTCCCACGTAGGGACCGACAGGGAGTACATGGCGGCCGCTTCGTGGTCCTGCTGGACGGCCCATTGCTGGTCGGAGAGAAGTGAGCTCCTGAGAGACCCCTCCCACTTGTTTGAGGTAGAGTCGGGAGGAGTTTATCTACACTCCCAAAGCATGTGTGCGAGTGCTGCCATGTGTCCACATGATGGGCATGTGTCGCTGGGGTATGCATCAGGATAATAAACGTGAAGCGTGGCAAGGTTTGGGTACGTGTGTGTCTGTAATAGGCGTAGGGTTAATGTCTGCGGTCGGTTAAGTTTCGGATGTGGAGGTGGAAAAATGTGGCGTTCAATGTAAAAGTGCTTTGTTATGTCATTGTACGTAATGGGTGCATCCCGATTGGTCTCGAACTCGGCAAGATGGGGTTGCCCTGTGGCGGTGCGGTCGGTGAGTGCGCGCGCTGCATCATGGGCGATCTCGTTGAAGTTGGATAGGGCACCCGGCACCTCGTCTATCCAAATCATAATGTGCTGCCACAATGCTTGTTCACCAACGGCAATATAATATACTTAGGCTCTCCGAGTGTTCTAATCTAATCTTTGGTGGTTATTTGGGGCGTTGAATTTCGTGCAGTGCAAACATGATAGCACATATGCATTGTGTTTTTATTTTATAAACAGCTGCGCCTGCGAGGAAACGCTTGAGCACATTCTATGTCATTGCCCAGCATGCCAGACCGAACGACGTATTATGGAAGCCATGCTCTGTCACCTGGATTCACGGCCGATTACAGAAGAGAAGATTCTGGGACCTTGGCTGACGGCTTCCCATACGCCCAAAGCCACGAAAGCCGTCTTGTACTTTTTAAGGAGCACCAAACTTCACGACCGCTTGTGAAAGAACTGTGCGAGGCCGTGCTGTGTAGTTTCGAGCTGACTATTTATGCGTCTCTTTCTTACTCCTCTTCTTTTCTGTCTCTTTCCGTTCTATTATTCTCCTTTTCCCCCACCCCAAGTGTAGGGTAGCCAACCAAGCCAAGCTTGGTTAACCTCCTTGCCTTTCCTCTCTATTTATCTCTCTCTCTATTTTACTAGCATTATGTGTATGAGAATTATTATGGTGCGTCTTTTAATTTAGCATATGTTGAGTTTTGGTATTCATCTGTCGCGTATTTTGTATCCATAGTTTTTTCTCTACGTGAAGCTGCTGGTATACTTAAGCTAAATGGTTGACTATTAGTATTAAAAAAACTCACCGGGTCCCCTGTACATTCGCTTAAGACAACTCGAAGGCGAAAGCCATCTTTTCCTTTTCAGTCGATGTATAAGGGAACAGGCAACACGAGCACTGCCTTCACGGGTCGCTGTAAAGTGCCGTCTCTATTTCCTGCTCTTGACGTCGCGCAATTTCCAATTAAGGTTAATACAATAATAAATAAGGTTAATACATTAGATAACAGTACACAAAGTGGCGTTCGCAGAGCATACCGAAGGGAAAATACAAGTGAGTTGTTTCACATCACCACTCACTTGAAGACGCACAACGGTGCTGGAGTGAATAAATAAACGCCATATTAATAATTATATGAACACGCCCATCACATCAACAGAAAATGACATTCCTAGATCACGCTGAAAGTTTGGACAGTTCCCGGGCTTCTTCTCGAATATCCGACCACAGCTGCATGAAAGACGCCTTGTCACCCAGCTCTCCAATCTTTTTTTCAAAACGGGCCAGCTGGTCTGGCGTGAAGTGCTCCTTCCAGCCTCCCACCTTGGCTTTCCTGACGAGTCCGTACTTGGTGCTGTCTCCACCATAGCCGTGCTTGCAAGACACCTTCTTCCGGCCGAACAATTCGCGCCAGCCAGGATTCTCGTTTCTCTTCAAGTCAAACACGATCACTTTCCGCATGTGCTCGGGCTGAGAACGCTCGATGATCTTCTGCAGCAGTCCTTCTTGTTCTTCTAACGCCCGGCCGTAGCTCTCTTCCACAAAGTGAGCGAGCCTCAGAATGGTTCCTGGCGTGTCCCGCTTGAGTTCTTCGTAGGTGAGAAAGAACACGTTCAGCTCGTTCCTTAGGGCATAACCCGAGGCGACGTGATCAAAGTAACTGCCGTAACCAAGCTGTCCTTGTAAGAAAAGGTCGACAATGTCTTCGAACGTGCCGTCCTGGAAGCGGTATATGCTTATGTTGGTCATGTTATAGAAAATAGAGACGCACACGTCCCAGGGATTCCGAGCCACGTAAACGTACCTTAAACCAAAAGAAAAGAAGGGACATGAGAAACCTAATAATTTACCGGTTTCCAAGCACTATGTCTGAGCCTGATACTGTAAAAAAATATATTCTCGCGAGACAAACATTCACTCTGAATGACGTGTGCTACCTGTATAGAAAAGATAGCTTTCAAAAGCACCAAGTGTCAACCACAAGTTGTAATATTAATGTATGCCGATACCACGATATGGTTATGAGGCATGCCGTTGTGAAGGGTTCGGAAAATTTAGACCATATGGTGTTCTTTATTATACACTGGCATCACAAAGTACACGGGCATTTCTGCGTTCATTGAAATGCGACCGCAGCGGTAAGGATCAAAGCCGCGACGCTAGGGTGAACAGCCAAGAACCGCACTCCACCACCTACGCGGTCAGTCGGAGATCGGTCAGCCTAGCGCTACCATGTCACTGCAAGCTTTAACATTTGAAACACAGTTGGCGTACACTTTATTACCGCAAAGAATCAGGGATACCGTGGGTCGTGAACTGGTTGAAGGCTGATATTTTGAGAAATGGGGAAACTATTTTTAAGGGCTTCCAAGCTATTGCTAATTTTCGCGAATGAGTCTTCGATGGATTGGTGATCGGACGTGATGTCTTGTATGTCTTGTCACTATGACAATACTTGCGCTGAGCCCCTCTTTTTGGTTGATATCCCCAAGTGTAGGACAGCTACGGAGATCGCCTGTCTTGATGGTTTGTATATTATTTTGTGGCAGACCCGTCCTCAGCACCACGTAACATGTGCTATAGAAAGAGCATCGTGAAGTTTGGAGTTTGTATGCGATATCTCTTTACTATTTCCTAGTGCATCATTGGCAATGCTACAAGAGCAGTCATCATCAATATCTTCTATCGACCACAACAGTTTACTTATCGCGCAAGCGCTTGATAAACTGCCGGCCAACGCCACCTATCGTAGACTGTAGCACTAGGCCGGAGACGGGTCTTGTTATTCACTGGTATATTATTTTCTTCTGCTGTGTAGCATGATGCCAGTTCGTAGTTTTCATAGAAAGCGCTCTGCGATTTGAGAGCCAAACTTCCATTATGACAGAACAATCGAAGCCATCGCAGCGTGCTTCAAACTGTGTGCCGTTAAGTAGACGTCACTTTCTGCGAACGACTGCGATTGATAACGGCTATGCCGATTGACCAGTCTCGAAATAGTAGCCTCGGCTGCTGAGCAGAGCTGTTCACACCAACCGCATTGCGTTTTGCCCTCTCTGCCACAGAGGGCCGAGCAATCCACCCATAAATGGTGACCATGTCGCCACCTTGCGGCTCCACGCAATACTGCGTGCGTGTGTCGCACACAAGATTGGCTGTGGCCAAGGCCAAAGTGGGGAACTTTTTCGAGCCTTGGTCCTTGTGCGATCTGAGCAATTGTCTGCGGATTTTCTGTGTTTTTGGATAATCTGTTTCAATCTTCCAGATGTGCGCTTGGTTTGAACGCACCTTTCGGGATGGCTGTGTCTTCGGCGTAGCGCTATTGATCACCGCTGGCAGAAACGTCTCGAAAAGTCTCTTGGCCACGCGTTTGCGTAGTCCGTAAACATTTACGGTTTGCTGTACATATACCTTACAAGCAGACTATTTTGGTGAAATGTGTTCGAATCATCATCATCATCATCATCGTCATAATCATCATCATCAGCCTGACTACGTCCACTGCAGGACAAAGGCCTCTCCCATGTTCCGCCAGTTAACCCGGTCATGTGCTTGCTGCTGCCAATTTATACCCGCAAACTTCATAATCTCATCTGCCCACCTAACATTCTGTCGCCCCCTAACCCGCTTGCTTTCTCTGAGAATTCGGTCAGTTACCATTTGGTTATCATACCGATAACCAAATGCTCCTGTGATGAATGGAGTATATGAGAGAGTATGACTAACTACATTCATGCATTTGTTGACTTTTATCTCATTTACGCCACAAAAACGGTGAAATTTACGTGTATATAGCTCATTTGGCCATTTTTTGCGAAATTTTCACTGCGAGCTATTTTACGGAAATACAAAATAACGTACTGCTCTGAATTCGTACCGATTTTTAGTTGCTCACTCGGAGACATTTATATGTGATGACGCTTATTTACTTTATTTAGTGCCCAACTTTACCACTTTTGCATCCTCAGGGGTACTGATATTTTAAATATATAGCTCATCTTACCTTGTGTTCAATAAACATTCATCTGCTTAATTATTTGTTTGTTGATAGTTGAAGAAATTACCCTATGTCCAATACAATCAATGATAAAAATGAAAATTTACGAAGTGTTTAAATAATGCTTGGAAGGCCAGCAGTCATGGCTCGTTTGCAATGCCTTGACATCTGCTCCAAAAACACCGATAGTTCCTCAAATCTAGCATTTTTCTTTGCTACCAAGGTACCTATAGATGCCTCCGATGAGCAATCTTTCGGCTACAGAATCTGTGATGTAAAGCAAAATGTCATTGCTTTTACTGTTATATTGATAAAACTGAAAGCAAACTTCACGCATGGGGTAGCAAACACGAAGTCTAGGCGGTATCCGGTGGCATGTTCAAGGTGAACAGCTCAAAAGCCAGCGTTGCTGTGACATATATTTTAAGAAACCTCTGAACTGATGATGACGGCACAGGAGGAACTGGTCTTGCCAGGAAGGCCACGGTTAAACTGCAGAACCCTTCCGCCCTTGTGGCACTTAAAGTGGAAGCAATTCGTGCTGCAGAACACGAGTGTTCTACTACAAAACCAAGCACGCGAATCTCAGAGGCACTTACTGGCGTTTGATCGTTCAAGTTCAACCAGGCTTTCGCTATACTACGGCACATGCCCTCTGTATCTAGCAAACAAGTCACGATACGCCTCTTGATTTTCGAGACTTACGTTCTTGCAACACAGGTTGTCCTGGCCCCTACCGAAACGGCAGTAAAGAAAAATACACAAAAATAGGATTTTATGGGATATAATGGGCATGGGTTTGTAATGGGCAGTAACTTCTTGAGTGCGGAGCATTACTTCGTCGCATGATGTGAGGCCTCGGTGTCTCTGCCCATGCGCGGCTTCGGCCCCATTGGACATGCTCGTCTCATCTCGTGCCTCGACTCGTCTCCCTCGAAAGTGGGCGGTGTGTGTATATACATAAGCGGCGTTCAGAAAAGGCGACTTTGCGGGTCTCTCTCTCGTACTTCTCTCAGTCCAATACAATGACGGCATTAAGCAATAAATACAGACTTTACACTTCTTGCCTTCGATTTTCCTTCATTAAATAAATATCGTAAGAACGACGATATCGCAATGAAACATCGCCAAATCATACCCAATTGCGCAACATTCACGCACCCACAACACCATGACGTATTTGCTCTAGTTACCCCGTGAGAAGATGTGGGTGCCATTTTTTTTCTTTGTGGTTGAGAGCGCAAAACCGAAGTCTGCTCACCGGAGATACGTGTCCAGAATGGTTCCAAGTGCTATCTTCTAGCAATGCGAATTTTAATGTACCAGCCATATGGTCACGTCGTCATCGTACGCAAATAATTTGTCAGGGATGTTAAAGAATCGTCATGCCAAGGGTAAAGATACAAGATTGAACAGCATCGCCAATACAGGGCTCTGCGGCACATCCTACTCTGCAAAGAAGTGTGCCATGTGCCCCTCAAGCAAGTGAATCGGAAATGAACTATTGACTATTCTGTGAGAGAAATGCCGCTACGCTGTGGATCGTGGTTCTAACACAGAGAAACGCAAGAAAACAGTAAGCGCTCTCGGATGTACATTCAGCGTCGAACGAAAACCAAATGGCAGCAGGCAATGGCAGTAGTGTATAGTGCTCGCCCTCTAGTTGTCAACATGAAGAAGAGCGCATATATCCGTATAGTTTTGCCGAAGCGGATGCGTGCGTCTGTCCATGGCAATAACTGGATGGGGTGCACTACAGCACTGCGAATGCCTGACACTGTTCGGTTTCTTATGACGTTGATAGTACGATAAACATGCCTAAATGATCACATTAAACCTGGATACATCTCTGTCACTCAGTATATGCTCTGGCGGCTGCACTTTTCCTCCCTCCAGTCATTCATTTGGAGTATGCTTCATTTGAAGGATGCTGTGCCTTCTTTCTAACTATATCATCCTTTGTAGTCCTCCAAAATCAATCAATCGATCAATCAATCAATAGATCGATCAGTCAGTCAATCAATCAGTGAATCAACCATTCAACGTGTCTATACCGTAAACATACTTAGCATCATCGTTCATGGTTTCCCGGTGGAGAGACTGATGCGTCAGCAGCGTTCGCACTGGCAGCGTTGGCGTCCACTCGCGGTCCGCCATGTACTCGATGATGCGGGTGTTGCTGGTGAACTCTTCGTACGTATCGATCGGATCGCCATTCCTGAGGATCAGCTGCGTGATGTACTGAACCCAGTGCGTGCCACTCTTCGGGTACGAGCTCTGCACGAGATCTCCTCTGGAGGCTCGGAACGAGGCGCTTCTCCGAAACACCTCCGGGTCCACCCAGGGGCTGCGCGCTACGCCGTCGATAATTTGCGTGTAGGGCCTCCGAGCTGTAGCCATTGCAGCAAGCCTGAGAGAAACAGTTGCATCGTTTGTGCATGACCGCTGAAGCTTAAAAACAGCGTTAGTTTAACGAGTATTATTCTTTATAAGAACTTCTGGAACACGAAATACAGAAAATTAACATTCAAATTTATCCCTGTGGTGTAAGTGGCTGTTACCCGTACTCTACCTATAAAAAGATGCAGAATACTAAAAAAAAGAAACTAAACGGAAGTTTGCACTCGAGCTACTGCGTAGTTACTACCCATTTTACGCCCTCCGCTGTAATAGTGGAGATGTTGGATTATATACGTGGAATCGGTTATTCGTTAGCGTAGTGTGCTAGAGCTCCCGCGCAAGTTTTGCGTTACGTTAACGGCAATCGAAAAAAATCATTCGTTTTCTTTCTCAACGTTATCCTCACATTCAATGTTTTCATGCTGCAGCGTCGCTTCCTGCGCACGACTAGGTTCCTCTTGCTTGCGTATACGCAGACGCTACTGAAACACTGAGCGCTTGTTATCTGCGGAGTGGAGCAACTTTCTGTTGAGCCCGAGCTTCCCGCGAAAGCCATTTTTGCTGGTCAGTTGTACTGTTACAGAACCTCCACAAGAAAATGGCACAGAGTGTAAAAGTGTGGTCTATGACAAGGCACTTAGTGAGGCTGGAGGGTTACTCCACGCTGTCCTTTACACGGTACACTCCACAGGAAAGAAATCAAAGAACAGGACCCACTCCTTCGAGTCGGCGTATGAACGGTTGCTAATGAGACCGTACGTCTTCATTTTTTAATTTTTTTGAATATGGAGGCGAAATGCAAGATGTCCGCATACTGTTTGATATCAGTGCATGTTAAAGAGTACCAGCAGGTCGAAATATCCAGAGCCCCTCAATCACGACGTCCCTCGTAATCGTGTTGTGGTCTTGGGAAGTAAAATCTTGCGGCGGACAACTCTGAAGCCCACATGCTTGCAGTCTTGTTCCTTTTATAATTGCGCTGTTGACGAAGTCATACTCGTTTTGCGAGTTAGTATAATGTACGAGTTGTTTTCTGCGCCGAACATCCAGCTGTTTCAATTCAGCGATCAGACCAATACCGTAGTAAGTTATGGGAAGAAATTGTGATGTTTTTGTTTACTGCTTCAGCCGCAGTAAATAAGTGGATGCAGTGCGTTAACTTCTGACCCAAAGTTCGCGTATTTCTTCCCAACTGCGGTGCTCGTAATATTTACAATTGCTGTGGTTTAACGTCACAAAACGGTGTTATGATTTTAAGACACACCGTAGGGGGGGGGGGGCTCCAGAAAATTTTGACAATATAGGGTGTTTTAACGAGCATGTAAATCAAAGAAAACGGACGTCGAGCATGTTCGCCTACGTCGAATCTACGGCTGCCGCGGCTGGGATTTGATTCCACGACCCGCAGCTCAGCAGTTGAGCTTGATAACTACAAGACCACCGTGAAGGTTGCTGCGGCGGTCCCATTTTGGTGGATGTGAATGATAGAGGCCCGTATGTGCTCTGCATTGTCAGTGCACGTTGAATTACACCTTATGGCTGAAATTTCCGGAGCCATCCACTGCGATGTCCCTCATGATCACATCGCAGTTTTGGGACGGAAAACCCCAGACATCATTAATTATTTACGCCAGCAGGTTTTCTTTAGTTCCCACAACAGTCGGGTAAAACTACAGAAGTTTTAGGTATTAGCTAATCATGTACTGATGCACAACTACTTAGAAACGATGTTCGTGGCAGTCTGAAGCCGTACTTGCCTCTTTTATGTAAGCAGCTACTACTATACCGGCTGGCGTTATGGGTGTAGTCTGATTGGTACGACCAGTTTCATGAACAGACGCATTTTTTGGTGTTTGGTATTGACTACGCTTATCTCATTATCTTATCTTATACCTTCTGAATTGCGCATGTGTTGTAGAAAACGAATCACTTGGAAATTCGGCACCCAACATGTTTGCATGTTTCTTGAAAAGCTTGTGCCACGAATTTTCGAGGATACAGCAAATGCTGGCGTATGCTCGTATGGATATAGTAAAAAGGGTGTAGTTAAAAACAACAAATAAAAAAGAAGTTAATCAGACTTCATATGGTGTTTTTTGTTGTGCTGCGTTCTTCTGTTATTACCACGTAGCATGCAGAGTAATACCTACTGCATGACAATCTGTCAAGTAGGTCCCTGAGTGATTCAAGGAAGCGTAAATATCTAAATTTGCTCATTTGCTGTTTACAGCTCATTTGTGGCAATTGCTTTTTTCAATAAACTCGACGATCACTCTCAGAACACAAAGCCACGTGGCTTAAAGTTACTGAATAGTTTCGCAACTTAAGAAATAGAATCGAAAGAAGCTAGAAAATACGACGTAATTAATTTCTGTGAATTATGAGATGAGCAAATCACAGGTCGTCTACGCTGTTCAAAACTTTTCTTTCTGTTATGTGTTTTGTTTTTAACAATGTGACAGTGAATAATAACTGAGAGCACTGAATAGCCTACGAACAGAATAGCCGTGACTCATAATACTTGATAACAATATGGTTATTAATGATATTATACTAATAATAAATTTAAAAGTGCTAAACCGCTGGAATCCTAGTACTTAGGATTACTCGTAATGTAAAAGAGCTACTGTTTGGTATTGTTTTAATCCACTTGAATAAATAATGACGGGTAACCTAACTAAATTGTATTCCTACAATGTCCGCCTAGCAAACAATGTTGAAGCGTCCAGCTTTTTAGAAGAAATTTTGTCACTTTTCTTGCTATATGCCGTGGCATTTGCGTAGAGTCTAAAAATATCAATAAAAATTTGTGAAGTTGCACCTAAAAAATTGATGCGTTAAGCCGTCAAGCAGTTTTAATTGTGAAATGTTTTGTAAGACACTAGTACGAGGCATAAAATGAAAAAAAAAGCATTATCAGAACCTTTCAGTTAGTATGTAAATGCCATAACAACGTCGAATCGTGAAATACTTGATTGATTTGTGGGGTTTAACGTCCCGATACCACGATATGATTATCAGAGACGCCGTAGTGAGGGGCTCCGCAAATTTCGACCACTTGGGGTTCTTTAACGTGCACCCAAATCTGAGCACACGGGCCATCAGTTCCGCCTTCATCGGAAATGCAGCCCCCGCCGCCGGGATTCGATCTTGCAACCTGCGGGTCAGCAGCCGAGTACCTTAGCCACTAGACCACCGCGGCGGAGCAATACCGAACTACTTCACCTTTGCTAATTTCTGCTTCATTGGCTGTGTATGGAACAGTATACAATGTTCCTGCATTGTTAGTACCGATGGAAGAGTGCGCACCTTTTGTCCTATGAAGCTTTTGCTCACTCAACTTTTAGTTGGGGCATTGTGGCGCTGCGGGTTGTAACGAAGCCAGAGTACGAGCCATATATACGCAGCCAGAAAATTGTTGCAGTATAGAAGATATATGTCGTTGTAGAACGGCGTCAAAATATACAATGATGTCACAGTGCTTTTTTTTGTTTCAGGGCAACTTTGTTGCCGAGAAAAAATAAAGGCGGCTTTGTTCACAGCTCGTTATGGCGTTGCCGTGCACAGAAACACAACTCATTGCTACTTTCGGTGTCGACCTGCTAAGCTTGAGGACAACGCGTGCTTTGGCACCCGCGTTGATACCTTTGATACTTTTGATACCCGGCCACGGAAGCCGCGTTTTGATATTATGCACATCAGTGCAAAAACACCAGCTTACTTAAATATAGGCACACGTTCTGGCGCTCCCCATGGGGTCGAAATTGATCCACAGTTGATATCAATTCCATCTTGGCCTCGGCTGGTAAATTCTCACTAATTATTGTTATGATCATACTCGCCTTGCATGACACTTGTGCACAAGCAATGTTCAGCTGGCTCCGCTGTTTCCATCTGCTGTTTGTATTGTATGGCAGTTGAGTCTTCAATTCACTACGCTAAAAAAAGTAATTAGGGATGATCCTCTGACTGCATCTATGTGGAATACACAATAGTCGCTGCGTAAACGATCGCTTGTGTTCATATTCTGACAACATTAGAGAAAAAGCGGGCAGTAGTGTGGCAATACAATGTGCCGATTGTGGCTGCACCACGAACTTGCAGCAGACGCAACTGTGCCTGCGAAATGCATAAAGCCTTTGCCATGCATGTTGCAGTCAATCATGTATCAGCTCCTAATCTATCACACTAACTGACAAAGAGACTATCTTTGCCGCGAAGCGTTCCACGCCATATGACAAATCAGGGCTTGTGCGCATGTCTTAGAAAAAAAATCGTCCTCGGCTACATTTTAGCTTTTTGGATGGCTGACGAAACGTAAATGTTTGGGTTGGCAGCGCTAGCACGAGTGGTGCAAGAGCTCTTCATAACGTGAAGACGTCATCATATAACATCATCGCTTGATAAAAAGAGGGTCAATAATAGAGGCAGTGCAAAATCACGGGGAGTGCAGAAAGTTTTCGGAGGAGGCGGAGGTGAACGGAAAAAAAGAGTAATAAAATAAATAAATTTCGTCTTTGAGTCGACTTGGCGAAACCACAACGGACCCTATGGGTCTATTTCCTTAACGAAACTCCGAGGATAAGTCGTAAAAGGTGACTTCACCAAATTTCAGATGCTTAAATATTTACGAACTGCTTCACAATTTTCGTGCTGAAAAAATGAATTAGTTGCTAAAAACACGCAATGATTATGCATGACACGATCGGATGTATTGGACTTTAGATTATCTTTGGCCTGCTGTGGTTAATAACACTTGTGTGGGTTTAACGTCCGAAAACTCTGATATGAGAGACGCCATCTTGGAGTGCTCCGGAAATTTCGACCACCTGGGGTTCTTTAACGGGCACCTAAGTCTAAGCACATGGGCCTCGTGCATTTTCGCCTCCATCGAAAATGGGGCTGCCATGACCGGGATTCGATCCCACGACCTGCAGGTCAGGTAAGCAGCCGAGTGCCTTAGCTACTAGGCCACCGTGGCATTAGGAGCCATATCTGGCAGATGGCCAGATATGGCTCCTAATGAGTTCCCGAATAGCTTCATGCGTACTTTTAAATTTGTTGATCTCGAAGTGCGGCCGGTGTAGCGTGGTAGCGAATAGGCGTCCTTTACACAGAACAACACGACGCAACTGTGGCGGGTGTGTTCATTAAGACGACGAGGTCACGCCGTTTGACACGATCTCGCAGAGACAGTAAACAGTCGATATATCGGAGCAAATAAATAATGCCACAAACACACGTAATAATAGTGTCTGGGCGTTTTCGACAAAACCCCCGATGCGTCTGTGACACTCTTAATGTGGGCTTGCTCAGACCTATATGAAGCCGTCTTCGCTACATCCGTGGCACAGGTCTCGGGCTTAGCAGCCAGCCTGATGTCGACAGCTCAATTCACAGACCGTTCTGTAATTCACGGTTGGAGTTGATACACGAAGCAAAGTGGCACGTGCATTTTTTGACACCCTGCTAGGCCTAAAGGTAGACTTTCGAAACAAACAACAAGAAACAGGAAAGTGCCAGAACCATGATATGATCATGAGGCAAACAGTAGTCGAGGGTTGTGCAATCTTCCGCCATCAATCGTTGATAAGTGTGCAGGGTCAGGCACTGACATTGGGCAGTGCATCGGCCTCGATCATTTCGTTTTCCCCGAAATGCGACCACCGAGGTCCAGACCTCGACTTCGGATCAGCAGCTGAGCACCGCAACTACTGTACCATCAAGATGGGGCTCCCAAAACAAACTATAGTTTCATGGAGTTCTTCAGACCTTTGATTTCGGTTGATTACACGACCAGCTTGGCTTTTTGCGGACACGGACGTGAACGCATTCGTCATTTCTCATGCGGATTAATTCTTCTGAAGGAGGTGTCGCGCCAACGGAACTTCACAACTCCCGAGCCCACGCGAACAAAGCGACCGCAGCAAAGCGAAGGAAAGTACGGTGCGGGAAGGAAAAATAACGAAGAACGTAAAATGTCTTTGAATTGCACAATTGAACGCTCACCTGTTCAGCTTTCGTGGTGTGTCTTTGTTAAGGGTTGTGTTGAATGGGATCCCACTTGATGCTCAAACTACAGTTCACTTACGCGTGCTCGCGTGCTATTTCGAAGGCTTCTGTGCCTAGAAAGAAGCACCACAGGCGATTCCGGCCCGCTGGTGTACATGGCAGTTAGGCCGCTGAACAATTACGAGCGCTCGTAGCCCGCGGCTCCTGATAACGCGAAATAAACATTATCTTTTCTTGCCACCTCACTCTAACAGCTATTTCTATCAGTCAGTGTAGCCTAACTCCGTCTTCCGCACTTGCAAGAGTGCAGGCGAGCAACTTTTGTTATTGTAGATGACATGCGTGAACGACTTACAAACCCTGAGCGGGCAACGCACAAAAGGAAGCATTGAATACCTAGCTGTGTCGCCTTATGAATAAACTGCGCACTCCTATAGCAGAAAACAGACTAACATGGCGCGCGTCAGAAGGAAGGGTTGCCATAATCTGTTGATGTTACAAGTACTATATTACCGTCTTATCTCAGGCACAGATATGCGTAACGGAGACTTTTCCTACGCTTCGCCGTTTGCAGGACCGATGAAGGTACGACAAGGTGATTTTCTAAGATGCAGAACTTGGTCTACGTTCTTCGATGCTGTATCCCTGTCGCACTCATTACAATTTTGTATAAGACATTGCAGTCAGTTAATAGAAGAGTTTATTGCAATATTTATAAACACCTAAGCGCAGGCACCGCGTTTACATATAGATGTGTAATATCGGCGTCAAATGAAACCCGAACAGCGGCAAGGCTTCGCGATGCACACTATCCAGCTGTCACAATTGACAGGCGCACGCGTCTTTATCGGCAGTTATGTGCATATAAGCATGCCTGTTCATGGTGATAAGTGGACGGCGCACACTATGCCATCGCAAAGGTTTGCCGCAACAGTATTCGGGTTTCATTTGATGTTCGTAGTAAATCTGATCAAACACCCTAGTGAACGGCAGCGGCCGCGCACGGCCTTGATCGTCATTCAGTATCGTCGTCATGTGACAGCAGCCGTATATAGTTACTAGCAAATATTACTCGCGATGAACCGGGGCACCAACGCTCTGGGCTTTGCGATGACCGTTCTTACATTTTTTTGTGTGTGTGGCACAATGGCGATTTGATTACGAAAAACATGACGGTGTGTGTTGTTATCAATCATAAAATCAATAAATAAATTGAGGCTGCCTTTAGATTTTGACAACAGTTTGTTTCAAGTATTTTCAACATTTGTGACATTATTACCGAGAGCTGAATTGGCACAGAGACACTATTAAACATCTGTTTAGAGGTGTTGAACGCAGAGTGCGGCGACAAGGCTTGATCGGTATAGGTCCTCGAGCAAGATGGTCGGCCCCCTTATTTCTGCTGTCCGATAGTGTGTGAGCGGATATGAAGAAGAAAAAAAACTTTGTCATCCTTATTATTATAAAATTTCATGATTTTGAGTGTCTTTAGGGAGATTCGACCATAGGCGAAATTTCGTATCACCGTCGACGAATGATAAGGCAATATGTCCGGTCGCGTTTTCGCGGTGACTACTGCGAAATACATTTTGTCTGTGGATTTTCCGTGTGCTGTAATGACGAGAGCCACATTTTTCGTGATAATATCTCACCGCGGCTGTATAGACGTGCAGGTGTCTGTATCTATCTGCGTCTGCAAATACGGCTTCCGTGATGTTACCAAGAGAGAGAGAGAAATAAAGAAAAGGAAGAGACACGGAGTTTAACCTAGAAGAACTGGTTTGCTACCCCACACAGGCGTGGGGAAATAAGGGTCGGAAAGAGGATAGAGAGATATAGAATAAATTAGGTAAAAATACACATGTACTCACATGCAGGGCGTTCCGAAGCCGGCTGAACGCAGGAACACCTTCACAGCCTTCTTCTGCGACATGAAGTCCTGTTGGTAGCGCAGGATTCTTTCTTCCGAAAGAGTCTGGTTGTCCAGTTTGTCTAGTGCTTTACAGAGTGACTGTCTCTGCTAGCATTTGCACAGAATATGCCAAATTTCTTTTTTTACTACATCCCGGGCTCTGCTTTCCTGTCTGCCTTGATGGTGGTTTATACGCATTGTTTTGGGCACGGAACAGACGGTTTTCATGGCTGTTATGCATCTGGGCGTATCAACTCTGATCCCATTGCATACAACGTGGTACGCAATACGTAGTTGATCCAATATTTGCTTGACTGTTTTGGTTTCGGTAACGTGCATAGCGCAAAGCGGTGTGCCCTAATTAGATCATTCGAACGCGTAGGAATTTGTGACTGTGCAACACTTAAAAGCACGCTGTCATATTCTGTCCTAGGCCACCGTCGTCGCTTGGCGCAACGCAGGCCCGATGAACTGTAACCATGGCTAAAAGACTATGGCGCCTGCGCCTACAAATACATGGTCCCACAGAAGAGATCGAGTTAGGC